CCTGCTTTAACCTCCTGAGACCTTACGTTCTCACACGAGACCCCATGTCCTCACACGATACCTTATGTCCTCACATGAGACCTTATGTCCTCACATGATACCTTATGCCCTCACATGAGACCTTATGTCCTCACATGAGACCTTATGTCCTCACATGAGACCTTATGCCCTCACATGAGACCTTATGCCCTCACATGAGACCTTATGTCCTCACATGAGACCTTATGTCCTCACATGAGACCTTATGCCCTCACATGAGACCTTATGTCCTCACATGAGACCTTATGTCCTCACATGAGACCTTATGCCCTCACATGAGACCTTATGTCCTCACATGAGACCTTATGTCCTCACATGAGACCTTATGTCCTCACATGAGGACATTGGCTTCCTGTCCCATCATATTTTATTCAGTTGTCCTTCTTCATTAGGTTTGCTCTCAACAACAGGATCCACACAGTTTTATATCTTGGTCTGATTGTGTTTATGGCTAGTTTCAGTTCATCGGTCTCTGTGTATTTTTAATAGAGTCTGATTTAGCCTTAAATGAACAAGTTTCAGTCAAATAAATCAAACTGGTTTTAATCTGGAACCATCCCACCTTGTAGAATCTGAGGCAGGATTGTTTTATTCCAGCTGTTACTGATGCTGATCAAACATCATCGATCAAGTCTTCCAGAAGTTCATCCAAAAAGGCTCAACCTTTCGAACAGGAAACAAAATAAATGTCTCGTCTCGTCTCGTCTTCCTCCGCTTATCCGGGTCCGGGTCGCGGGGGCAGCATCCCAACTAGGGAGCTCCAGGCCGTCCTCTCCCCGGCCTTGTCCACCAGCTCCTCCGGCAGGACCCCAAGGCGTTCCCGGACCAGATTGGAGATGTAACCTCTCCAACGTGTCCTGGGTCGACCCGGGGGCCTTCTGCCGGCAGGACATGCCCGAAACACCTCCCCGGGGAGGCGTCCAGGAGGCATCCTGACCAGATGCCCAAACCACCTCAACTGGCTCCTTTCGATCCGGAGGAGCAGCGGTTCTACTCCGAGTCCCTCCCGAATGTCCGAGCTCCTCACCCTATCTCTAAGGCTGAGCCCGGCCACCCTACGGAGGAAACTCATTTCGGCCGCTTGTATCCGAGGGCATAAGGTCTCATGTGAGGGCATAAGGTCTCAAAATAAATGTTAAAATACTAAATATTAAACATTCATCTTTTGCCTATTCTTGTGCATATCAGTAGTTTATTCATCTTTAATCTGCTCTCATAATCCATCCATTCAGCATATTCTTATTCTGCATCTAAAATACATTTTTACTGTTTAACGTTGAAACAAATGCTTGTTAAAGTTAAGCAAACAGCTTATTTACCTGGTAGAGTTCATCTGTCCCAACATCGTCCTGAAATGTAACTGAAATAATCTATAAAAGAAAATAAATCTACACATTTTTGATGAAAAAGTTACTTTCACATTTTATCACCTACTAAATAAAAGCTTGTTGTTATTTATTGAGTTTCATTAAAATCTGCTCAGTAGTTCATGAGAGTTTCTGCTCACACACACACAGCTCATGTTTGTCTGCAGGTGATAATAATTATATATGATTCAGAATTTCCTCATTCAGAACAAAAGTTTTCATTTAATTAACTGCAAATAATTGGTGACATTTTCTTTATTGAGAATGTGCCGTTGGGTTTGATTTAAGGTATAAAGACTGTTCTCTTTGTAATCCTACTGAGTAAAATTTAGTTTTTTTAATAAGTTTTCCATGAAAACATTCATTTTGTGCGTCTGGATTTTGCTCTGTAAAGAGGTTTCATCAAACCTGTCTGGGAATCAAAAGGGTACCGAAACAGTGGATTTGTCCCACCTGTAGAAAAATCAAATCACAAAAGAACAGCTAGGCCAACATGTTACTGAATCTGTACAAATATCACATTTCTTTAACAGTTTATTTTTCAGTCTTCTGTATTGAAAAATGAATGTAGTGTTTACACTGATCTTAAATGCAAATCAGATTGTAATCACATTACTTGTAGCCTACTGGGTGGGTACAACTGATTCACATACATTTGTGAGAGCACAACACACCTTCACAATTGTATCTACATGCATCACATCCTTTTCTTTGTCAGTGTCAGTAAATGTGATGGGTGCGGTGCTTTGCAATAAAGCGTATTTCTGATGAACAACTCCTATGACCCTTTCAGTGTGTATCCTGAGTGATGCTAAGCATCGGGGGCTTTCCAGGTCAACAGGATCTAACAGTTTTTTACCACGGGTAAAAGCTGGAATCTTTCTGTCAGCTTGGAACGATTGTACAGACTGTCTCACGTTAAAGCCCCTGTCTGCCAAAACTAGGTCTCCTGGAAGTAAGTGTGATAAAAAGTGACTATTTTCTGAGATGAACTTGTCACTTGTGCGGCCTCCCCACCCATTAGAAATAAAACAAGTAGATCCCTGTGGGCTAATGGCAATCAGATATTTCACAGTGTGATGTGATGTAGAATAACACTGGGTACTGGCTAAAAGATTACTTGGTTTTTCAATGAATATTTCAAAGCAGTCAATAATACAGTTTTCTCAAAGTTTTTGCTACGAAATGCACGTGGTAGAGTTTGTCTTAAAATATCTCTCAGGCCAGACGATAAGACTTAGAACTAATCTACAGTACATCACACTAATACAGTGCTCGAAAAGTTTAGAAACTGGTGGAATCAACTCCAAAATAAAAAGCCAAAAAATCAAAGCTTAAATTCATCCGTAACTTAATTAAGGTCAACACAAGCTGCTGAAATAATGTGAAGGAAGATTTCATTTTAAGAAATGGGAAAACAACATTGAAAAGAGCCATCAGGATTGAAAACGTGGGTAATCCAGTCAACGTTAGAACCGTTTGATCACTGTTTTGCAGAGCAGATTCATTTAGTTCAGTTTTAGACATATGTTCTCTTTTCGTAGCTGATTCTCAGCCCTTAAGGCTTGAACCTCCAATTTGAGTGAATAGATTATTGTTTTACAGTTTTCATTTTCACATGAAGGTCCAGTGTTACTATCTTCCTCCAAAGGCTGGCGGTGATGTTTGGGTTCTGTGCAATCTGTGACAGTGGATGGTCCTGCAGAAGGTTGGGAGTCATTTTCTGGTTCAGTGTAGTCCCTGATGGAGGAGGCTTCACCAGCAGAAATATGTGATCCCATGGCTGCTTGTGTGGCTGCTTGTGTGAAATCTTGCTGTAATCTTCTTATTTTAGCTGCCTGTCATCTATTAAGTTTGTTCTATAAGCAACTTTCCCTTCTTATTTACTGGGGAGGGCACATGCTTGAAAAATGATGGACATAGTTGGGTGAAAGCGGATTGTCACTCTTTTCCCTAGGACTAAATGAACAAACAGAAGTCAGGAGGATTACAACAAAACACAAAGGCTTTTACTGGTACGAACTTTAGACAATATATTTAGACAGAAAAAAAATGGTAGCTATTACTTTTGAGTAATATAACACAAATTCTGTTTATTTTACTGTTAAGCCTTTTGTTTACACCGCCACAGATCATTTTTCAACATTCGTTAGCCGTTACCATCAACCCCGTGGACTCATGTTTTGATTGCATGAGCTAGAACTACTATTTTTAAACCTTAACTTCAAATTACGTGAAGTTGCCTGAAATGAAATGGGCACTGCACAAGCGGAATCCATTGTGCGACGGGTTCCAACGCTCGGTTTTCTTCATCGCGCTTCGAGCTCATTTGATCAAAGAAATCCATCGTTCCCTCCGGGCTGGGTCTTTCGGAATGCGATAAAAGGCCGGTCTTTAACCTGACCTCGGTGGTTTGTGCAATTAGGAGCACAACACGAGTCAACCATTATCTGAAAGCTGGAAAACTGTCGGCTAGTTGGCTTGTTTAAAATTTGTTTCCTACCAATATGGAGCACCGTGGTGCATGATGGGATCGTGTGACGTCACCTCCCGGAGCTCTATTGTAATGTGTGTGGCAGCTTGCTAATTTAGTCTCCCTCTCACCTCTCATTCCTGAATGGTTGCCTTGAATCTCCGTCTATCTGTCTCCCTCTTGGATCATCCTGCTTGTGCTTTTTCACACAGAGCAGGGGACAAGACAACATTGTAAAGAATCTCAAGGCCACAGTGGGGTACAAGAAGATAAAACTCAGGTTCCCAGACTGTGAAGAACAGTACCTTGTGCAGCATCTTTGTCTCGCCACTCCTGTCTCCTCCTCCAAATAGACAGTCGCCTGACTCTAGCGAAGTCCCTAGATTGACCACACCGCTCGTCCACCATGTCCTTGACATTTGTCATGATGTTGATGCTTCTGGGTTCTGCAGTGGTAAATGCATTTGTCTTGCATCCGTCCAAGGAAGAGCCTGCAGCTAATTCTGCTTTTTCTCGTCAAAGGTCAGTTTAAGCAAATCTTTCAGCTTAAATTATGTTTTAAATGAAGAAAACATGAACTGCAGCTTTTTTGTTTTGCAGGATTAATAGATTAAGGTAAAATTTTCCACAGTCTGTGAAGCAGATGTGGAAAGTGCAAAGTGGTTTTTGTGCTAAATACTTGGAAATGTATTTCTTTTATGCAAGTAAAGTGAAAAGATGTGGTTCTACCCTGGATAAGTAAGCAGAAGTATAAATCAAGAGTTTTTCTTTCTTCTGCCAAATACTTGAAGTTGTTCCAGAGAGCAGTCAGAGGAAATTTCACAACCACATCTGGCATGCTTTGGAACAAGTTGCTCATCTACTGAATCTTTTTTTTACATGTGAATGATTATTATGTTGGTATGTGATTCTGTTTGGGACGGTCAGGTGCCCGGATGAGTCCCTGCGGGCAATAAGGAAGAGTCTCCTTGGAGAACTCAACCTGCAGTCTGAGCCACAGCTGCCGGCTGGTGTGGTGGACAGCATCCGAAAACAGTGGCAGAGAACTTTCAGCACCGTTTCTCTAAGTGCCAAAGACACTGCAGGCAAGTGGAACGCAAAAAATTAAAAATATTTTTTTAAATTGCTTTATTGTTATTCTAATCCTGTGCTGCTACATTTACATCATCCATCTTCCTCCAGGAGCCTCTGACGTCTCAGAATCACATGACGGTGGAAACAGCACAGGCCTCCAGTGCTGCTCCATGGCCTCTGAGATCTTCATGAAAGGTTTACAACAATAAAATAATTCAAATGAGCCTAATACTAATAGATCTGTGTTTTTAAATATTTGTTTATTTTGCAGACCTGGGCTGGGACACCTGGATGATCCATCCTGTGAGCCTGACCATTGTTCAGTGTGCCGCGTGCAACCCTGTGGACAACAGCGTGCAGTGTCCTTCATCCTCCTCCTCCAGCATCCAGGTATCATCATTAAGTCTCAGCTGGAGACGAGCTGTTTTTCCTTCATCCATGTCTGTGTGGCAACAATCAGCACGTAACTTTGTTTACCTTGGTGTGTTTCTGAGATACGCCGTTCGTTCTGACCTTTACCTGGCACATGCCAGAATGCACGTGGTAATAGGGGTGGTATTAAAACAGAGATTAGCTAATCCGGACTGAACATCTGTGGAGAATTTATTTGATGTTATTTAATATGAAACATAAAAGTTGCTAAAAGTTGGCTTCATTATGTTTTTAGATGTTAAGTTGATCACCAACACTTTAATTTCTTTCTCCAGGCCGATTTGCCATGCTGTCAGCCCGCTTCCCAGAAGATGGTATCCATCGCCTACATGGATGAAACCGGCGCCATTAACCTTTCCTCGGTGCAGCTGACCCGCAGCTGCGGCTGTGAACCTGGGAACGCCCAGCAGCAGAGCAGAAAATAGGCTGAGGTTTGTCCTTCGGTCCTCACCTGCGTGCATCGAGCCACGTCCTGTATTCAGATTGTCTTCCTGTCCAGGTCTGCTGACTCCCACCTCTCCTGCTGACTGTTTATATCTGACGATGTTCCTCAGAATGTTCAGAGCTTAGCGTGGGAGCCAAAGCAAAGTCTCAGTTTTGCATTCCTGCTGCACCCTTGTAGCAATAACAGTTTTGTTGTGCCCGCCACTCGTGGAAATGAAATGTTCTACATTTACGGCCTAAATCACTTTGCTATTTAAAATAAAATCTACATTAACATCAGAAAATGCTTTTTCTTATTTTAGATAAATTTAACATTTCTGGCACCAAGTGAAGGGAACTTATCGGGGTTCGGTTTACGTTTGGGTGATACATCTCATTTATTTATAGCTGCTAAGTTACTGAGTGTTCTCTCTAAAAGCCTGAGAGCGACCGGAGCCAAATACTCGACAAGCCAGCTGTCTCCGGCCTGATGTACGCTTCCACCACGTCCTCTTATGGGAACAAATTCCTTTTTATCTCAGCAGGCAAACTAAGGTCAGCAAAGTCAGGCTGTAAATTATTTAAATGCTTCCTGATTTTGAAACTTCCCCGAAAAAAAAAACATCCCAGAATTAGTGAGGAGCAGCCAGAAGCTTTGCAGCCTTGGCCTCAGTGGCCTTTATTTAAACATTAACACATAAAGATATTTTTGCCTTAAAATGATGAATAAAATAAAAACATTATGAGTCAGATGCTGATGTGTTTTAAAAACAAACTCCAGTGATTCAGCACAAGTACATGTAATACTACACCCTCTGTAGCCAGCTCAGGACTTGTTGAAATCTGAAGCAGCCTCGGCCGCCTTCAGAGGTTCTGGGATGTCAGGAACGTTTACTAGAACACAGCCTGCAGTTTGGACTCGGTGCCGGTTTCTTTTGGCTACCAGCGACATCCAGTTTGTGCCGTGGTGCTGGTTCCAGCTGAGCTTTGAGGTGTGTCCAGCAAAATGCCGTCATTAAATGTTTAAAAATGTACCTTAAAGAAAGATCACCTTGATTAAAAGTCTGAGTGAAATGATTAAAAACATGTTCTTGGTCCAGATCAAAAGTTATTATTTAAGCATAAAAGCATTTTTAGTCTCTCTTTGGTTCCTTTATCTAATCTGCTGCTTGAACACAAAACTTTGACTTTGTTTGCTAAATAATTATTTGTCTTGTTTGTTTTTTAATTTAGAACAAATGTTTGTTTGTGGGGAAAGTTCTCATTAGTAAATTTTAATGCATTAGAGTCTTTTTGTGTGTACTATTCAAGTTTTTACTATGTTACCTCCAAATTGAAGTATTAACGTGTTTTTCTCATGTGTACTAGTACTCAGCTGAATCAGTAGATTTAACTCTTTTATCATCATAATCATTTGTACCAAATCTGTGATTTTACTTTTTGTTCTCATAAATAAAAATGCATGAAATAAAATGATGTTTTTATTGAACAAAACTTTTTAGTTTAGATCTTATTTTGAAAGGTTGAAACGTGTTCCTTAAGTCAGCCAGTTTTCATTTGCTGCCAGAGCAGCAGAGCTGGTGATGTTCAGCCAAGAGGGAGGGGGCTAGATGATGGAATGTTCTCCACATGACCAGGTGCCTCTGAGGGGACGAGCAACACGCTGGATGCTTCAGATCAGCTCTTGATGTTTCCACCGGTGCTCGGATTCTGCTGTTTAACTCATCATCCTCACAACGTTTAAAGATCTGGGTCTGTCACTGAGTTTTACCAAAAGATATATTCTTTTAGTTTTGTCCACCGTTACTGGGCAGAATGTCAGGATGCTTCAGCGTATGGGTGTGTGTCGTCCTCCTGTCCCCACTTCTGACAGCTGAAGGGACAATTGAATGCTTGGAGAAAGAAACACCTTTGGAGCTGAACACCATGGAGAAACCCACGGACTGTTTGGTAGAGTGCAGCTCGATGACTTACATCAAAAAAATCCAGCTTCAGGACAACCACAACATTCAGATTAGAGACTCTAGAGAAGGTAAGAAATGTTTTACAGCAAAAATAAGATAATAATACTGGTAAATAAGACAATGATGTAGATTATCAGACATGGAAGTGATGCCTCTCAATCCATCACTTTAAATAATCTGCTATAATTTCACCTGACAAACTGATTTTTAACTAGTTTACAGATAAAACACATCACTTTGATCAATTTCCCTTAAAAACAGAAAATAAACAACAACATTTAAATCATTTTCATTAATCAATATTAAACTAAACCAACATCTTTCGGTTTTAAGAGCTGTTCTTGTGATCCTGTTTTCATGGACTTATTTGTTTTGTCAGGAGAGCCTGGAGAATACTGCTGGTCCACTGAGTTCAAGTGTAAGATTGGAGAGAGGTTTCTGAATGCATACGTGGTGCTGCCTGTGGATGTATCTGCGCTGGGAAACCAACCACTGGAAGTTAAAACCACAGGGTCGGCCACCACAACGCTGCACGTTCACAACAGCCCCACAACCATCGCAGAGAGCTGCGGCCTCCTTTACAAAGTCACACAGTTTATCAGCTCGCCCAACACGGAGACCTCGTTATTCTGCATTCAAGTTGTCATCCAAGGAAACGAGCCGGGAGACAGAGTCCTCACATGTCCTCCATATCTGGTCACTTTCTGGCAGAGAAGTCCAACCTAATCCAGCCAGCATGGAGGTGGATAAAGTGCTCAGATTATAGCAGCCTTAATGCTACAGTAAAAGTTCTCATTGGATTATGTAAATATTTAATCAGAATATTAATGCCTTTTGTAGTCGGTGGTGTGTGTGTGTGTGTGTGTGTGTGTGTGTGAGAGAGAGAGAGAGAGAGAGAGAGAGAGATAAAACAAAACAAAATGGTTTTACTAAAACGTTTTCTTATATGCTTTAGTGTTTTTAGGAGATTTTCATATTTCGTAATATTCAGAACCCAAAGGTGATTATTTCGTCACTAGACATGGAGTAAACACACACACACACACACACACACACACACACACACACACACACACACACACACACACACACACACACACACACACTTATGGTTTGTTCTTTTTGCAGTTATTCAGAGATGATGTTGAACCAGAGAAGTTAGGATGATGTCATTCACTTGCAGATGGATTTATTCATATTGCTCTTGTTTAGATGAATTAAACAGATGATAAATGTGCTTTCACCCTTCACCAACATCAAGTTAAGTGCTACAGTTGTTATTCATCTGCTGCTTTGATGGAACTCTTTATGGGTTTCTGCATTAACTGATAAATTAACATTTATTAAATTCTTTAAGGACTCAAGTGAAGTGTTTGTGTGATTGTAGAAACATTGTAATTGTTTATTTTTTCTGTTAAATAACTGGATTTTTTAAAATAAATGATCTAATATCAGAGTACATGAATATCTGTGGTAAATAAACTGTACTTTATGTGACTTCAGCCATTTGTTTTTTGTGTTTGAGAGTCTTTAACTTTGTTTATTCTAAGATGTAAACAGAGATTTTTACTCTTCATTGTCTAATCTGTTCAACTGTTAGGTAAAAAGTTATCATAACCAAATCTGTCCATCAGTAAACCAGCTGTCAAGATGATTACAGTTTTTCTCAGTTGCTTTGGTGCATTTCTCTCAACAGAATTAAACTTTGCACAACAGTTAGTTCAACCTCCACAACATGTAGGCAAATGCCTTTGGACATGAAGCAGTTGAGTAAGTACAAATATCTAAAGAATGGTCACTTTTGACTTGCTATGCATCACTATCTCCTTGCTTTTATCATGAATGTCACAATTATTGACACTTGTACGGGCTGAACAGTCATTGTCCTTACAACTAATAGTCTTCATTTAATTGATTGTGTCATTGCACTCAACATTGTTGAACATCTTTTCAAATAATTTGTACACCTATTTTTAAAACCCTATTTTAAGGAGTTTCCATGGAAATCTCCATAAATTACTTTTCTCAGGTTAACCTTATCTCACACTAATGAAAGTTGGTGTGTGTCCTGGTGACAATCGGACAATGTATGTAGTGGGTTGGGATAATGTTAGCTTCCATCACTCTGCTGTAGTCAGGCAGTGGTTTGCAGCACACGGCAGGATGCTTATGGAGTTTCTTCCTCCTTACACTCCATTCCTAAATCCAATTGAGGAGTTTTTCTCTTCCTGGAGGTGGAAGGTTTATGACAGGCATCCACGTACCCAAATGGCCCTGCTAGCAGCTATGGATGACGCTTGTGATGACATCACAGCAGAGTCCTGCAGAGGGTGGATTCGACACTCCAGAAGATACTTTCCCCGATGCATCGATAGAGCTGACATTCCCTGTGATGTTGATGAAAATATGTGGGCGGACAGACGGGAGCGTCTAGATATCAATGATTGAGGTTGAACTAACTGTTGTGCAAAGTTTGATTCCGTTGTGAGAAATGCACCAAAGCAACTGAGAAAAACTGTACCTAAAACAGGTGTAACTGTTTTATTTTTCTATGATGGACAACTATGACTCCTGCAATTTTGATCCATAAATAACAACTTGGTTTTATGAGCGTCATTATCGTGTGAGCATCACGTCGTCTACTTTATCATGCCTTGCTGAGGTGTATTACTAACTGTAGACCACTGACCCATCATTGTGAATTGTATTCTCGAGTGAGATGGCCTTCTTTGTCCAGGAGTTTGGGATACTGGTACATTTTCATTCACAAGGCCATGCTTGGACTACTACCCACCTACATGTGTTATCTCACAGAGAAGTGTAACTTCTCAGTCTGTGTGCAAACGATCAGTTGTTACTTTCTGTTCGGTTTGCTCACAAAAACAAAAGAGCCTTGGTGCACTCTGCTCTTTCGTGGGACAGTGGGACCTTTCTGGTTAAATACAGAATAAATAAATACTTACTGTAGAAATCATTTATTTCTCTTTCGCTGGCTGGGTGATCAAAATGGTTTGTTATTCAACATTATAAATAACAAAGCACCCCTTGTGGATGTTGAATTACAGTTTTTCACCATTGGTTTAGCTCATTTCTTGAAACAGAAATTACATTCTCAAACCTCAAAGATCATTTGGCAAAACACTCTTACAGTTTAGCACAACACTATAGCTTACCTGCAAAAGCTCATATCTCTGTCCACTGTCTTCACCCTCCTAATTATTTACACAATGTCGTCCGTCTGGCCACAGATTCTCGTCCACATCACAGTGGATACTTTTTCTTGTCCGTTTGCTTGGCCTTGTCTATCCATGTTCAGAGATCAGACTGGCGCTGATCAAACTCTATATCTCTGTATTTGGCAGCACACGATCATGGAAAACACCTGTGTGTGACACTCCCCGTTCGTTAGTCTAGTTTCACCTGACTGTCAGTGACTGTCATCAATGTATCAAATATTCAAAGAAATTATTATATGGTATTCATGGTATTATGTTCTTGACCAATTCTGACAATTGAACAGACAGGAAGTTGGCTCCCTGGTTTAATTCTCATTTACGAGCTTTAAAACAAAGCTCTAGAAAACTGGAGAGAACATGGCGCTCTACACACCAGGAGGAGTCCTACCTATCCTG